AGAAATGTAGATCTGCAAAAGTCATTTTTGCTGCAACAATGTTTTTAAACTAAATAACAAGTGTAGATGCTTGTGTTGCAGCCATAAATTGTCCAGAGTTGTTGTGGTAACAAGGTAAGGTAATGCAGGTTCAGATGACGGGGTGGGGGTGTCAGCGTCTTTGTGGGGCTCCAGAAAGTTTTGGGCTGGCCCCACTGGCTGCTTACTCAGCAGCTCAAAAACAGCATTTAATGATGTTAAAGATTAAAAATAAGGATCCAGGACAGTCCTCCTCTTCAGACCAGAGTGCTCCTCTTCTCTCTCTCCCTGTCTCCTCTGTCCTGGCTCAGGTCTGGTGTTGGCAGCTCACCATGGCCCACTGTGTTGTTGGGCTCGTAGCGGGTTGAAGCAGGAGAGTTCTGCATGACCACCAGGCGTATGGGTGACTGGCTGGGTGGCACTGGTGTGTTGTCAGGGATGTCCTCTTTGGTGGGGTCTTTGCCGCGGCAGTCGTACAGAATACAGGAGATGAGGAAGACCAGGAGCAGGATGACATAGCTGGCAACCAGGATGATGAGGTTGAGGGTGACGGGGTCAATCTCCAGGTAGAATTCCATAAAACCCATGGTGCCGCTTCATATCTTTCCTGGATCCAGAAAAAGATGGGATGATGGGAAAATCAAGTAGAAAAGAAAGGCAATATGGAAAAGAGAAGAGGCAGAGAAAAAGCCAGTGAAGGTGGACAAGGGATGGGCAGCTGCCTGGAATAGGAGAGAGCAAAAGACATCAGAGGGATGAAATGAGAGGGATCAGCTGAGAGAGAGAGAGGCAGCGGCAGCAGGGCAGGGTACATGTGAAGCTGACGTTAATCCTTGCTGCTCCTCCAACCATGAATTCAACAGCCAATGATTAAAGCTGCTCAGTTTTAATAACTTAAGCCACCATGTTGATTTTGCCAGCTACATGTACAATGCAGTGCATTGACAAAAAGCAAAATGGAGGCCGAGTCTTCAACACAGACCTGGTGGTTTGCCAAGAGCGTCCCTCTGGGGATTGTGGGAGTCATGTAATATGTATTGAGAGTGGTTATTTTTGGATATAACATTAAATAATATTAAAACCATGTAAGGTCACAGGACTGGCCGCGGCCCCATGCAAGGCGCACAGTTTTAACCCTATAAAACCATTTGTATCATATTTGATACGTGAGGTTCCTGAGGAAAATAAAATCGCCAAAAATGCCCGATGTATCAAATGTGATACAAAAGAAATAGAAATAATCTAAATAATATGGCATCTCTATTCCTATATACCTGGACTGTCTGTCTATGCATATATGGCAAATAAAATCGTGAATGTTGAATTTTGAATCATGAATTATATTTTGGATTTTGTTAAAAGGTTTAATAAACATCTCAGTTCCGAAAAATTAGAATGTTCTGGCTATTTTTTGATGTGTCAGGCTTTACAAGGTTAAAAGTACTTGTGTACATCATGGACATAGGAGCCCTGATTCAACCTTACAGGCAGTGCTCCTTCTCATGGACCTCATCCTTTCTTACTGGGATCAACAGGCCTGAAACTGTGCCACAGTTCTAACTCCGAGGCTTAGTCTCTGGAGCCTCGTTCATAAACATCATGAATAAAACATAACACATTAAAACAGATAAAACTGTGTCACGGGTGCAGATTTGAGCCCTTTAATCTATGTGGTATTCTGTTTATACACCAACTGCAGATCTGCTTCTCAGGTCATTGTCAGCTCAGTAGGAACTTGCTTTGTTTCTTATGTGGTTCATTTCTTCTCCTGATTAAATTCACTCCCTCAGATTGATATTGTCACTGCTCATGCTCTTTACCAGACTGTTCTCTTTTTCTGTTTGTTCAAACAAAGCTGCTGTCAATCCTGCTGGAGCACTAATGGGAACATTTACAGACCGTTATGTGACCCACTCACCCACATTAGAAAGTGCAGTAACAGCAGGGGGAGCTCCACATGAAAGTCCTGGTTTGCTGCTTTCAGTGCAAATGCATCATGTTGTTTGGATTCATCCTGCATATGTTTTGCATTACGCATCAGTGCTGAAGCTTCCACAAGCTTCTCATGTACTTAACATCCCTCTGAGTTCCCAGATAGATTCACTTAAACTCAAGCCAGATCAGAATTTATTTCTTCTTGAAACAGTTCAACAAGTTCACGGTAGAAACTAGGCTTGTAGAGCAGAGAGACTCCAGGTTCAGTGTGAATGCACTGGTGTAGCCCTCTGGCCGTCTTTAAACCTTTCAGCCTTTCTCCTGCCTAAATAAAACACAGAAAATGAAAAAAGGATATCCAGGCCCTTCAGAAATGTTATAAAATAACAGAATCAGGAAATACCTTTCAAGCCAGGGACACCTCATCTACTGTCATCGACAGCAGATGGCAAGGCAAAAGGTGGAATAAAAATAATAGAGTGGGAAAAAAATAGAAAAGCACATTTTAGACTTTGGAGAGCGGACACCCAAACAAGCTGCAATGACCTGCTCGTGGTATAAAATCAGCCTGACCCACTAAACACAAGAGGGCAGATTTCTGAATGAAGAAACCAGGACCCAAAAATCACAAAAAGTTCCTGAGCTGGAGGTGGACTTGTTTTGCATTTATGCTCTACTGTCACATGTTGACTACTACAGGGAGGTTGATAGAGACTTATGGATCATTTCCAGTGTCTTTCAGATGAGAAAATGGAACAGCAAACTGCTTCACCAACAGAAAAACTTCCACGGGTACATATGAAGGAAAACAAAATGTCATGCTGGGCGGGGGGGCTTTCAAGTCAGCAGGCTGAGGACGCCCTGAAGTGGAGCAGAGCATGTGACTGCGAACACACCACCGCCACTGCAGGCTCAGCTGTTCAGCCGTTCAAGCTCTGACACCTCTGTGCACCGAGGCCCATGAACAGCCTCTAGTCTTCTGTCAGCCCTGGGAGAAGAACGATGGCATGCCACAGTGGCAGTCAACAGGAGGGCTGCCATTTTTTTTAGCACAATGTGAACTTCCTGTCATGAGGCAGCACCACTCGGCACTGCCCTCCTATCTGACACAGCACCCACCTCGAACTGTGCCCCCAGCACACCCTCATATTTCAGTGAGCCTGTAAATTCCATCAGCACGGTGTCCGGTGCAAGAAACTGGATTTCTGATGGATGGAAGGAAGTGCCTCTCCCTGGTAAATGGGGGTGTGGAGGGCCTTTCAGAGCCTTTCAGGGCCTCTCAGGGCCTTTCAAGGCCTTTCAGAGCCTTTCAGGGCCTCTCTGCCATTACTGGCCCTGATGTTCAGTCTCCTTCTGAGGCTGAACCCAGCTCCTAACACAGGATTTCTCCCAGCACAGACCAGCTGGCTCCAGCTAGTCCACAGGCCCCTCGACAACACTCTACATCCACTGCTGATTCACAAATGCTCCTCATGTTTATTTCAGCTTTGTTTTACCCTCATGAGTAATGTGGTTGCATGATGAAACATGAGGCTATTGCTCCATTCGGAGACATAGGTTTCATTTTGACGTATCTGCAGCTCTGACCTGAGGACACTTCTCTTTGTCCCTTGTTAGTGCATTCTGTCTGCCTGGGCTGGGGAGGAAGATGTTCAGCTCACTTGTAGCATTTTGGGGTTTGAGGGCATTTGAACTCACCTGAATCCAGTTTGGAGTCTGCTCCATTCACGCGTAGGTTGACTTTCATATGTTTGTGCTGCCTGACAGAAGAAATCACAAATACTGTCTGGGCCAGCAGTCATTACCAAGTGTCTGAGCTGCAGATCAAATCGACATTTTTGCTGTACTGACATTTAAAATGATCAGTCACAGAGAGTTTTTTTTTTTAAACCTTTATTTAACCAAGAAACATCCCACTGAGGTTAGCAATCTATTCTCTAGGAGCGAGCTGGCCAAGACAATGGCATCAGAGTTTCAGGAGAATCCAAGATGAAAATGAGTATACTGTACAACAAAAGGCTGTCACATTGCAGTACAGCCACTGGACCATCTAAAATGTATTGTAAAACATGAACTATATGACTATCACAGTTCTAGACGACATTTTAATTGTGGCTGCATACGAACAGCCATAAGAACCAACACTGAACCAGAACCAGAACCAGCAGGGTCCTAAGTGAGCTCTTTATTCACTAATCGCCAGAGTCTTATTTCCACCTACAGCTACAGCCTCAAAATCAAAAATATTGATAAATGCTGATTTTTTTTGCCCTTTCCACCTACAGCTACAGCCTCAAAATCAGAAATATTGATAAATGCAGATTTTTTTCCCCTGGAAGTTCCGGTGCACACGTACTGAGAGGCATATTAGTCTGAGTGGATGGAAACTAGAGTTGATTTGCTTTATTTTCTGGAGGAGTGTTAAACGTTTCATAACATTTGGATGGAGACATGAAGCTTGGCCTCCATGTCACCCCTCCCAGCGTATATTCAGCTTTATATTTGAGCCAGGAGAGGTGCCTCCTCCAATGACTGGAGCTGTGAGGTTCCATCAGAGGAGCTGAGCTGGCTGACAGCTTCACCCATGTCCAGCCTCATTAGTTGCTGACAGGTGAGTGGGCCTCACCTGAACAGGTGCCCACACGCTTTCTGTTCACTCTAATGAGGTCGCTCATTGTGTGTCTACAGTAGAAACCGCTGCAGCAGCTCCAGTCAGAGAAACTCATTAGTGTTTAAACTGTCAAGCCTGTGCTGGTGTGCATTGTCACAGACACACAATGTAGCTCAGGTCTCAGCTGGTTGAGGTTCACACTGTCTCTCCGTTGTTACTAAGCCCAAAAGGAATCTGCTGGTGGTTGTTACAGTTTTCTGTCATTGTTCAGGATGCAAATCTGGGGAATACTGCTGAGTGGTTTTCATTTTTATTTTTATTTTTTGCTTTTTGCTAACAGTGATTGAGCAGGGTGAAAGAAATCTATTTATATGAACTTTTAAATTTGAGAATTTTTTTATTTCATCAACATTTCAAGACACTCAAAGCGTGAACGTTTGTTGGAAATTCCACCAGCATAAAATGTAAATACACATTTACAGAACTAGGCTACTTACCAACCACCGCATAAAAAAACAGGGGAGGGGGGAGGAGACATTAATATTTTTGTTACCCGACATTAACCTGGGCTGTTCACACAGGTAACTGAGGGGAGCGGCTCTAGAAGGCGACTTCAGGTGTTGTGTAAGGAATGGAAAAGCAGCGCTGGACAGAGATGTGCAACCAGGCAGTCAAGGTGGAAAGTAGATGGGAATGTCGGATCCTTGGCTTGGAAAAGGACAAAAAAACGTTCATAATGTCACACAACTGTTGCACACATGCAGGCAGGGGCAAAAACAGAAAATCTGCAGAAACTTTGCAGAGGTGTTGTCAGAGTTCTGCGGACACAGATTCCATCTGGGCCTGGTCATGACATTTTTTCCCATCTACAATTAAAACTAGTTGAAGACATAGTAGACATCTAATATACTGTAGTTGTTTCATTACATTGTCTGTCTTCATATATAAGAGCAGGGGTATGATCGTGAATACAGTGCTGTGGGTTACAGCCCTGTGTTTTAACATTTTGGAAAAGTAGATATTAGCAGCTCCTGCTTGCTCTGTACTACTGGATTACTCTGATACCGAAGACAAATACATGGTCATTTTCAGGAAGGTTCTGCAGTTACAAGGAGCTTCTGTTCCCTCTGAGTTCTAAGATTTGTGGACATTTATCAGAGATAACTGCATCTATGAAAGGTGTAGGCTACACTGATTCTAAAATATGCATCATGTCTGTGTTCAGATTTGACCAAGTCCTGCTTTCAACAGTATTGCCTCCATGAGCTGCGTCACTGCGACTGAGAACCTACTGACTGTGTTGATCAGACCATGAACACCTGCACATACCTGACCCCTTGACCTCACATCCCTCCTGTTGGTGATAAGCATCCCAGTGGTACAACTGGTTGACCAAAGTATACCAGCTCTGTTGAGGAGGAAAAAAAGTTCAAGACCAGACCTGTTTGAATCGAGGAAAGAACTGGCACTGATTCGGAGGTCTGGGACCATGAGGTCACTTGGCTCTGCTCAGCCTCGGCCTGTCTCTACTAGACCTTGAAGCTCATCTGATGACAGAACAATCATATGGCTGCAGGGGAATTAGCTCAAAATTGTGATAAGGGGTGGGTAGGAACACAAATGCCTTCCTGTTCCCTGGCTGATCCCTTTGAATCGTGCCGAGTCCCTGTCTCTGTGCGTGCCGGGCCCTTTCCGGCTAAGAGTCTCTGGTGTGTTTAGGGGGTAGGGAGGTGACACTGCCACTGTGTTATAGCTCTGGTCACTCAGCTGTGACACTGTGTTAAAGGAAGGGACAGGATTTCCCCTCTGAACCCGCCTCACAGAGCCTGAGCCGCCACACAATGATTATTTCTGCACAGAAACAGCTCAGTTCTGTTTTAGGTACCTCCTCCAAAAAGGTGATTATGTCTGACTGGGCAAACTGAAAATGTTTCTGATTAAGAGGTTCAACCCAGATTCAGACTGACCCTCGGTGCAACACTTACATGTCAACTCTTTAATAGGATGAAATACATGACACTAGGTTATTTTTCATCGCTTTGGATCATAGTGCACTAGTCAAAGCATACACTGGCATGCATATCAGTGATTAACCCCATGTTCTTCCATGAGTCAATCCCAGATCTCCTTCACAGGTTTCTCAGGAGCCCACATACATCTGCCATCTGCCCAGAAAGATAATACGTTACAACAAATATACAAGTTCAACACTTCCACCCCCACAAAACGTTACATGACTACAGAGTGATGTACATAGTGCTAAGGTCACAAATGCAGCCAAGAGAGTTGAAATGAGCTTGTGAGTGTGTTTTATCTCAGAAAGAGCCACATCAACATTAGAGTACCTTCTTAAATACCTTTTATAGCCTATTAGCAGTATTGAACTACAGATACTGTCCATTGTTTATGAGCCTTGCAGGGCTGCAGCTAACATTTTCCTTAGACAATGTCCAAAACTACATCAAATGTGGTGACATTATCAAATGTCTTCAGACATCTTGTTTTGTCCAACGAAGACTCTAAAACCCAAATGACTTAAAAAAAAGAGAAGCGGTGCAAACTGCACAAGCTGAGATCAGAGGGTGTTTGGCATTTTTCCTTCTCAGGTGACCTACATGATGAATTAATTATCAGACTTGTTGATTAATTTTCCTTCGATTATTAAACTCATTGTTTTAGCACTAGCGCTTTGAAAAAGAATGTTTAGCCGCAGTCCAGCACGTGAGTGTGGTATCCTTATTTTACTGCACTCAGACTAAATCATGCATCCGTCCATCACAGCGTCTCAGCCTTGACGTGTCTGCAGAGTCACTGCGGCCTCGGATGGATGAGTAGAAGCTCCATCTCCTCACAGTTTGTAAAGCTGAACTTTCAGAGTCCACCGGTTCGTGCCCTGTTAGTGTGGTGCAATACTGTCTCCATGAAGTTTATCAGACCTCCAGAAGTTAAACCCAGGACTGGAGCACTGGAGTTGCTGGCTGGCGATCAGGCCACACAGTATCCCTGGCTGGCCATGAGGGCCGTCTGGCTTTCCCTTCGTTTGTCCTTCTTCTTCCTCAGTCGGACCCTCCAGCAGATGGCGCTGGATCCCAGCAGGCCCAGTCCAGCAGACAGCACCACCAGTCCCAGCACAGAGATCGTAGACCCATGAGAGTTGAAGGTGTACGCTACTGCTGTCACTACAATGCCCGCGATGAGGATGACCACACCAAACGGCACAGTGCAGCGGTAGCAGGACATCTCGGCACCACCAGTGGCTGCAGTCAGCTGGACCTCATTGATATGCGGCACATGCCTGGTCACAATGAGGCCTTGGTCCTTCCTGGGTTTGTCCCTGCTCAGCTTCTCAGCAGAGATTGGTCTTGGCGTCTTCATGGCACTCCTAGGGATCCTGGGGCCACCTTTGCTGTGGAGGTCATCCGGCATCGTGATCTTACTGGCAAGGAAGAGGTGCGCCATGTTGACACTGATGTCAGCAGTCCGCCAATCATAGAGGAGCTAGCTGAAAACAAACAGAAGGCTGTTAAGGATTCAGTGACTTGTACTGACCTCAGTGAAGAGATGAAATTGTAAACAGGTCATTGGTACAACTATTCCAACGCATATAACTTTAATAAATCACCATGTAAGCCACTGAAAGAATAAAGCTGCTTGTTAGTTTGCTTTTTCAGCTGGAAAATGTTAGAAACTCAGTTAATCTCCCAGCACTAATGGAAGATTGCTGCTTTGGATTTCTATCAGTTTGATCTGATTAATGCAGTGTTTTGTTTTTGCATGTGTGTAAAATCTCAGCATTGTGAAAACTTAGTTATTGCAGCCTGCAGAAAAACGGTTCCTTTCAGTCGCAGAGTGATGCAGACAGTAGCTGCTATGTCAGCTGTGTGGAGTCACGACTCTAAACCTGCAGCAGGAGAAGGTACAGTTACAGGACTGTCGTGACTGCACCTGGCTCAGTGGCTGTGCACACTGTTTTGCAGATGTACATAAGCCTTGATGTAGTTTCAACCAGGTCCTTGCATTTTGCAGGAAAAGATTACAGTTGTGAATCATCCCCAGTTTGACCACATCACACACTCACACCAGCCACCTTATTAACAGCTGAGGGGACAAACAACACAAGTGCTGACACTAAATCAGGCAAGTTGCAGCCTCACACGGGTTGTTGTGGGTCGCCTCCTCACAGCACATGTCCAGAGCAAAAAGAGTGTCAGCGTAGAAAACGAAGCTGTTGTTATGCTTCCAGTGTTCAACTGCTGTTAATAAAACTTTAATGTGAGACAGATGGAAGGACAAGTTGAGATTTCATCAACAGCAGAGCAGCAGGGGAGACCAACCAGCGGACAGCGGGGGAAACAGGGACATGTCTCACTGAGGCCAAAGAAAAGATTACAATTCATAGTAATGGCTCAAAAAGCTATTTTCACTTCAACCCAACAACAGCAATGTGGTAAAACACCTTCCCAAATGTAAGGACTTGTCATCTCTGTGTCATTTTACAATATCAAAGGCAACATTAACTGATATGAACCAGCAGTGCAACTAATCTCTGCAGCTTGGATAGGTATAAGGGTTAGTGACTGACCTAACAAAGGTTCATTAGTATTTAGAGGGAGAGCTGGTTAAAAACCAACTGTTTCACTCAAACTGTCTGGAAATGATCGGCCGTTCCAAAACTTGAGATTCATGGCCAAAAAGTTCATTTTATAGAAAATGAAAAAGGAATCAGTCTATCCGTTTCCTCTGGGTGTGTGAGTTAGTGATGAGTTGTAGCAGCACAGCAACATCTGTCTCTGTTTGCATGACTAACTAACAATAAAGATTTGTGTTAAATGAGATTAGACAAGGTAGCAGATACCAATTGTCCTTTTAAAGCTATGATAATAATAATGATAATAGTGAGGCCTAGACCTGTGCAAATAAAGCTGAATTGACTGAAGTGGAAACAGAAGCTGTCTCTATAAAACATCTGCATTTAGCTTTGAATGTTCTTCTGCTCTTCAGCCTCTGGATCACACTAATCGTGAAGGGTTTAAGCCTCTAAACCAAGGTGTGTTGAACTATCCAAACCTCTAATTGTAAGTGGAAAACATCAGAAGTATTTCAGACATTTAAGAGTTTATATCTAGATGTGTGTGCACAGAGAGACATGGGTCCCATTTTGTACCGTTTATATCTAGATGTGTGTGCACAGAGCACAGTGAGACATGGGTCCCATTTTGTACAGGCTGTTATTTGGCCCCCAGCTGTTAACACGTCGACGTCACAGCGTTCAGTTCCAGCTTGTTTTCATATGAGTGACTCGTCATGTGTGGGCTCCAGTAAAGGTCAGTCAGCTGTGAGTTTGCATATTGAAGGGATTTCAGAGCTGCTGTTTCGTGAACCTTTGGAAGGCATCATGAGAAATGAGCGTCTGAGAATGTAAAGGCAAGATGTGTAGCTGTAGAAAGACACTGATTTCAGGCTTATTTTGTCCATCGCTGTTTACAGACAGATGTGTGTGTACCTCGAACTTTTTAAGCTGTGCTGAGTTGTAGACAAGTCTCTGTAGACTCACTGTTGATATGGCTTATGCACAAATGTGATTTAGACCTCGTTTATTTCCACAGCTACACGCACTCTCTGCGCACTCACTCTCATGCTTTCTCAGGTTTGCAGCGATCAACAGCCACAGGCACCGGCGAAGCTTTACGACCCCTGAGCTCATAATCACTCGTACGTTTTTATGAGCGTCTGGTTTGTGTAATGAGTCCACGCAGTCACTAACAGACAACATGCCTTACCACAGCTCAGATACCTTCGTTCTCACATTCTATAGAGGCAGCTCTTAATATGAATGAAAGCTTCGTCAAATCTGAATGTGATTCCCTTCATAGGTTGAAGGCACGGGAGCCTGGAGAGCTTCTTTTTGCTGTCCGGGTGTTTTAAAAAGTGACTGAAAACTAAAAGTGACTTGTTTCAGTTTTACCTCGACCGGACAACAAGGCACCTATCACTACTCTGGGTTCCGCCGTGCGTAACGATGTGAGCGCAGAGAGAACAGCCTGCAGCGCTGAGTGCGCGCTGCTGCTGGACCTGGCAGGCATCACTGCAGGTCGGTCTCATGATGCAGCCGCACGCCAGCTTTCTTTCCTGGAAAAGCAGAGATAAAGCACTCACTGTGGAAGTGTGCTGCCCTACGCTCCTCGCAGTTTTTCTGATGTCTCCGTCCACAGAAATGAACTCCGATGGTCGTGACTCCCTCAGTGTGGAGGTGCTACAGGTCGAGTCCGGCTCTCTCCTCCCGGCTGCATCGTTCTCACTGCAGAACTAAAAGGGGGAATATGGCTGTCGATAGGCGAACAGGGGGACTGCCCTCCCCCGCTCCCCCGTCCACACCACCTCCTACTGGACTAACAAATGTTTAACTCTTTCCTCCCTTCAGCTGCGAGGTCTTTGCCTGTTGATATTTAGCATTATTTCTTCTTAATTCAAGGTAAACGTCCTCACAATTTTTAAGGAGGTTAATGGTTTCTCATTTTCCAAACACCTGAACCAACCTCTTATAATTTGACAGTTAAAAGAGTGAAATGGTCCCGCAGTCCCCCCAGGAAGCCCCCGGCCCCAGTTTACACCCCAGTCTGCTCCAGATCCTGCAGACTGAACCATCTGGGAGGAATCAGCTGTGTTCTCCTGTGGTCCTCTGTTGCTCCCAGCAGCTCCAGTCTCAGGCCCACTGTGGTCCAGGTGAGGTTTGAAGGTGTTAGTCATTTAGCTTTGGACGCACAACAGGCCTCTACACCTTAAACCAGCAGTAATGTAATGTTTTAGCACAAAAATACCTCTGAGCCACAACACACTACTCCTTCCCTTCATTCATTCATATCAGAATGCTGACTGCAGCAGTTCTGAGACGTGAATATTCAGATTAGGGTGAAATAAGCACACCGGGTCATTGTGAAGGGTTAAACAGGTGCAGACACTGAAAAACCAACCTGTAAAGTTTAACTACGAAACTTATTTTGTGGAATAACTGCAGAATTTATGGCAGTGACGGGTTTGACTGTGAAGTCATTTGCACTGAATTCCTCTAAGTGAAATCTCCAGAAATACAACTGCAGATTTTTTTAAACAATCAACATTCTGACCTGTTTCTTGGATGAAGTGACTGACTGCCACCTGATCAGACAGACATTTGATTGATTGATTACCACTGGTATTTTCAATTCTAGTATCTGAAAATGGCTAAGTGAATTTTAGGAACTTTTAGTAACAAACTTAGTGTTTAATATTGCACAATAACTGTAAAAAATAAAAGTAAATTAAAAAAATAAACCTGACAATCAAGCTTTTGTTTGTCAAATGTAAATGAAGTATTACATTTCACAGCCATGTGTTCAGTGACTCTTTGCCTCCATAAAGTGGATCCTTAACAACCTGTGTTCCTCAAGCTGCTCTGACATTTGTGATTTGTAAAACACTTAAGGTGTATGTAAACTGCCTGCCTCATCCAGTCCAACCTGAGACCTTTACTTAACTGATTTAAGGAAGTCTGAGTTGATGGCAGTTTCTAAGGTGGCTTTGTTCAAATTCACATGAAACAGTCAGCAAAACATTTGTGATGCTATAAAACAGTTTTCTTTTTGGGAGAAACTTGATTTTCACAGATAGATACCACCTCTCTTTATAAATGGCATTACAAACATCATGTTTAATGGTTAGAAAACTGGTTTCTTAATGTTAAAAACTGCAAATCATTCATATATCATGTGGCCGGACAGCAGCAGGCAGGCTGGGTTCTGGCCTTATGCAGCTCTGCAGCAGCAGATCTGGGTGCAGGTGCAGCCTAAATAGCACAGAGTTACAGTTCTACTTTCTAATGGAGCTTTGCTGACTTCATGCTAAAGCTTTTCTTGGCTCCAGAAACAACAGCTTAGCAGGGAATGATCTTGCCAAGTCTGGTGTCTGAGTGTTCAGGGTCTCTGTCATCCAGCAGACGCCACCTAAAGAAAGGAAATGTGTGTAAATGTACTTCTAGCCAATGCCAGTGTTATGCATACGTAAGAATGTACATGGGAGAGGTGTGTGTCTAAACATCTCACTCCCAGCGAGAAAAAGAAGAAGAGGATCTCCCACCATTTTGAACTCTTCCTTTAAGGGACTGAAGTCACCAGAGTTTTAAAGTGGATCTTGTCCAGAGAGCCGGTTTCAAGGTAGAGTTGGAGAGAAGAAGAACTTCAGTGTGACTTAAATCTCCTCTGAAGTCCAGCTGGACTGGTGTCATGTTCAAACCCTGTTTGTGCAGATGATCCCCCAGCGAGTCCTTTGATGGAAAGCATGGGGCCACCACAACAGGGCCTGAGAGAGGGGCTGGAGGAAGAGACCGACCAAAGACCTGCTCGGGTCACACACTTCACCCCTTTAATGTGTCCCTTTGTGGTGACTGGTTTAAGTAACTAGGACAGGAAGACTTCACATCTCATGTACAGTTGCAGCTTTTGGAGCCACTTGAGTTAAACTGATTTAATTTCCCAGTGGCCCTCGGTGCTCATCATATGTCCCCAGAGGAAAAGTGGTGATTTTCAAAGTGGTTCTCTCTAAAGCAATCAAACTAAATGAGATGTTTAATGAATGCAGGCAGATTGATTTTCCTTCCTGGCACATTAGACGCCTGTCCAGGGATGGAGCACGAGTACTAAATCACTTCCTTCCCGGATCCATTTCTGGGCTGGGGATGATGTGAGTTATTTGCTTTGGATCCCTCTCTCTAGAGACGTCCTGCCCTGCTTCCTCTTCACAGCAGATGGTTGCAGCCTGTGTATGTAAAGTGGTGAGGTTGGCAGCTATGGAGCACACTGGACTCTGTTTGCGCTTTTCCTTTCTATTCCTTCCTGTGAATACAGGTGTGTTCACCCAGCCACGGTCAAATTTCAACTTTGTAAACTCACACGCTCATCTATGTTTTGGCTCAAAACATAATGGAAAAGTTGACATTGCATTTTTGTGTCTTCACACAGTCCAGTTACTAAGAAAAACTTTCAAAGTGTGCAATTTTTCATTCAGTAGCCCCGGGGGGCTTCGACGAAGATGTCAAATTCACGAAACAGGAAGAAGGCAGGCTTGTATGCTTACTCTTTTCCACTAGCATGGTGAAAACACCTTTCCTAACAAATTTTTAAGTTGTTACTAAATGAAATCAGTTGCTGATGCTAATCTAATTTTCCTAATGTCAGCTGATCCTATGTGCAGACTAAAGCCAACAGTGCATTACTTCATCTCTCAGTGCTTTTAAATATTTTCTGACTTCCTGCTCTGTCTGTGGCTCTCAGCTCCTGGCCCACTGGTTGTTATCAGTGTAAGTTTGTTGGGGACTGTTAGTGCACCCTTGGTCCCCTGGTGAGTGTTTGCAGTGGCAGGATAGAGATGTAGGTTTGTGGTTATACAGTAATAATAGTGATAGGTGTTGCTGAATAGTAATGTTTGGTACTGACAGGTGTTTCTGTTATTTTGTCCACCACCAACAAAACAACTGAAAGCAAAAGCAAACAAACAAAACATTTCTTTTATCCATACCTGGTACTTTATAATAGAATGTTCTTGTTCTTCATCATCTTTATCTGATGTTCAGCTCCTTTTGCATGAGACTGTATGTGTGCGACACTATCACCAGCATCTCGAGTCTATTTATTTATTTATTATGTCTTTATTTCACTACTTTTTACAAGTATCATCATCTACTGTATCTTCTTTATTCACTTCGGTTCTCTCCATTCAAGATCAGGGACCGACCCGAGCTGTATAGTTCCCACAATGGTAACAAATTATGATAAACAATAAAACAGAGAAAAGGCTGAACTTAACCATAAAATAAAGATACTGCTGTCCTGGCCAACCTCTCCCCACTGAGCAGTTCTGTAGCTACCCAGTAGTGACCTCCGCTTGTTGTAGTGCCTTCTAGTCAGAGCAGAAACATCACCTACACACTCCCCTTCCTTATTACTTATTTCCTGGTTTAAATAGTCCTTGCCACCTCAATTTTTCCCCTCCCTCCTATTCAAATTTCATTTATTTAATTTCAAAATTCAGTTTTGTTTTGCTTCATACACTGTATAAGTTGAACACACCTTCACACACACCTGCCAATGTAAAACCCTCTACGTCTTTTTGTAATGTTTTGTATCTGTTGTCATCTCCCATGTCCTGCCCTGTTTTGTTAACGTGTTATTTTGTTTTCCAATAATTTTTAAAAAGTATATGTTGCTGATACTCGTATTTTTCAGGTAGGATTTTAAATGCAGAACCGTAAATGAAATATTAGCATTTTATAAGGCTGCCCCATTACAATCATTAGTAAAGAGACCTGTCAGTCAACTGAGACTCTTCTAGTTGAGCCTTTGTGTTTATTTAATGTTATTTAATTTTATTTTATTTTATATCAGCCAGTGTGCATTAAAATAAAAAGCAGCCCCAGCCCCCTTTAGTTTGTCATCTTCTTCTCATCAGTTTGGTGTGCTAAGTAGCAATTAGCTCAGGGCTTCCCCTTGTGGTCGGGGAGAATAACACTTCAACTGTGACACTGTGCAATGCACAAATGTATAAGGTCCAGTGACACAAATTGCTGCCCAGAATGAGGAGAAAAAACCCACTAGGACAAGCTACATAAAGGTGAGATTTTTACTTTATTAAAAACGTTTTCAAATGTCTACTTTTACACGAGAAAAGACTGTCGCAATGATGGAGCTGGTTTTGCCTAATGTTATGCGAGTCTGGTTTGTTTACCCATCCCCATTAAAGTGCAATGCACAGCTATTTACCGACTGTTTCTGTAACATGCATCCATCAGAACAGGACTAAGAAGCTAACAAAAATGCGCAGGGAAAACATTTCAATGAGGAATTATAAATCAGAGGAATCAAATATATATTCTCATTTTCAGTATTACAAGTTGGCATGCATCAAGCGTAACAACACGTGTTGCTGTTAACTGATGGGAGAAGCTCAAACTTCTTGGTAAACTCGGCTGTGACCATGACTCTGAAATAAAAACTGCCTATTAGAGCGTTGTTTCAGCAGAAATACCAGTGTGCTGCCTGTCTTGTTATTCTGACAAATGCCTGACATTTATATTGTGGCGCTCCACTGGTTCGGATGAGCGGAGCTGGCCTGACCCTATCCTAAACTGTGACATCTAATTATCCAGCTGTGTGCTGGCACCTAGGCTGACATTGAGGAGAACACCTTCTCTGTCTTTTCTTGGCTTTTATTGAACAGAATAAGAATGCAAAATGAAACTGCGATATACCTGGCACCGTGTGCTCACAGGAAAAAGAAAATAGCAGAAAAAGAAAGCAGTAGCAACACTCCCTTAGGGCATTCCATGTTCCGCGCCAACTGCGATCACCCTGACACACCCACCTGTTACCCCTCTTATCCTCTGCCGTACTGGTTCCTCCCCAAACCCCACATTGGACAGAACAGCGCGGGTATTTCACCGAAACAACGGTAACCAGTACATGCACAGCTTTCAACAACAGTGTCAAACCCATTTG